TGGGGTCCAAAGAACATTGTTTCCACCCCATGTATCAGAGTGGCCTCTTACTAGGGACCAAGTCCAGGTGTCAGGGCCCCATAAAATCCATGGGAACAGGTGGCTTTGCTGCTGATTGCTCCCCAGTAAAAGAAGACTTTAAAAGAAGTTGACTCCACTCATCCCAATTATTACCCTTCCTCCTCCAAAGACAAGGAGCTCACATCAGTTTTTGACATCTTACATTTTATTTAGAGCTGCCCTGAATGAATGAATGAATGAATGAATAAATGAATGGGGTGATAGATGCTGAAATAGTTGGTTCATTCTGGATGTTTGCCATGGTTTTTAACCTGTTTTTCTCCCTGAATGAGACGAAAACCAATCTTAAATGGTTAGCTCAGACTTGTATCTCTCCAGTGACTTGTATCTCTCCAGCTGCTTCAGCAGAGCAGTCTCTTCAGCAGAGAGAACAGCTCCAGCTCTGAGGTTTAACCGCTGGCCCTTCTTGCCCAGTCCAGCCTTTTTTTTGCCCCACTGGGGCCGCACACAAATCCAACCAGTGAATTTTGAAACCTCTCATTTGCAGCATTGTGTTCTCAGCTGGTAAAATGGTGGTGTCCAATGATATCCTTCACTGCATCAGAGCCTCTTAGCAGAGCAATTCTTGTAACAACTGAGTCTCACTGTCCTCACCAAGCAAGTGTGCTCGTCTGTGTGATCATGTATAGATTTCAACTATAAAATATGATTGTACATAATTGTAATAAATATGACTTACCACTATTTAACACCAGGCTATCACTGGGTTACTGTGGCTCTTATTTTTGTGGGGAACTGTGCTCTGGGCGGGAGGGTAAGAGGAGGGAAACGGGATGGTCACAGAAATGTGAAAATGTTTTCTGAAGGACGTTCATGGTTGGTTTTGTGTGACTGCTCCAGCCCCAGGTGATCTCAGGGGGAGGCAGTGCAGGAGCAGTGCCAGGCACACCTGGGCTGTGTGTGATGGTGCAGAGGGTGGGACGGGTGGATCCGGGGCAGGGCAGTGCTGCTGTTCTGGTGCCTTGGCTCCCTGCAGGGTGTGGAGTGCTGCATCCTGCTCCCTCCAACCCGGCAGCAGGAGGTGCTGAAGGGAGCCTGGGAGATATCCCACGGCCCCTTGGCCTTATCTGGGAGGGAACGCTGTGCTGGATCCCATGACTGGTCTAGCCCTGCCATCCCAGTGCAGAAGCCACTGAAGGAAAGGCAGTGCAGTGAGTAATCTGTAGCCACTCTAGTCCCATCGTTGTTCAACAGAAGGATTTGGCTCCCTTCTGAAAAATGAGGGATTTACTTGATTCCCGAGTATTTGGGTGTCTGGTACACAGTGACATTTTCCTGCTCAGGGGGAGCGAAAGGGACCTTCATATTACTGTATTTAGACCTGCTGCTGAATGTGATGATTTCTCATGCCTTAAATGGACGAATATCTTCCCCAGGAGTGAGTGTGTGTGTGTGTCTCTCTCTCTCTCTCCCTCTCGGGCTCTCTCTCCACTGTTTAACGTTCACAAAGAACGTCACGTTTAGCTAAAACAGGGTGAATTTGAAAGTGTTTAAAAAGGCAAGGCTTTTCTGAAGGGATGGCACTTTGCACTTCTCCCAAGCCAAGAATCCTCGCAGAAAGAAAACACGGCCGGACGCGGGGATGGGATGAAAAAGTATTGTCCTGCCTGTGTACATTTTATATACATAGAAGGTTTTGAAAATAGAAAGTGCCTGGACAACAGCAGTTGGTGAAATGTGGAAAATATGTTGCTGAGGTATGTGCCTTGCAGAGTGACTTACGAGGTTTACAGTACAGGCATCCCTGCGGGTTCAGTTTTCCCCCCTTTTCCTCCATGTTGCCAATGTTCAATGCATTTACCTCAAGATTTCTGGGGCAGAGTAAAAAAGGCAGTTTTCTTGAACTGCTCTTCTCTGTCCCTTAGTTTGTCCTTCTTACTACCTTTACCAGTTCTGTAGATCACTGGTTTTTTCCTTTCTCCAACCTGATAAATCCCAGAAAACCCCATCAAGGCCATTATTGCTCAAAAAACTGAGCTCTGTGCCCCTGGCTGCTGATGGGGTGTTTGTGTACTCTGCTGAAGAGATCCAACCCACCGGCAGAGAATTTGGAAGAAGCCAGACCTTCTATCCGGCAGGTACTGCCTTGAATCACGAGTTTATTCCTCTGTCTTGTGTTGTGTTCCCAGCATAGCAACAGTTGTAGGGAGAGGATTTTGCTCCTTGTAACCTGACTGCTAACTTGTGATTGGTTTTTCTTCTTCTTTTTTTTTTTTTTTTCACTAGAAAAAGCCCTCCTTAGCTCTCCTGTGAAATGTTTACCCCACTGGCCAGGTGGCCCCGAGAACTCATCCTGTTAGCTGAGAGATGACCAGGTAGGGAACCTTTTTTTCTGCAGAACAAGACAGCAGCAGCAGTTCTCCACCACCTGGTTCATTCAAGTACTCTTGTTTTACTGTGAACTCTTTATTTTTACTGTATTTTACATGAATTTTTTTTTTACATGATATTTTTACTGTATTTTACATGGCAGATGAGGGAAATCTGGGCACGTTTCAGTGAATCCCTGTGAGCCTGTGATCTCTCCTAGAGGAAACAGTGTCAGGTTGGTGCTTCCCAGTAATTCAAGAAGAGAAGAGCTCCCTTTCCAATACCTGCGAGAGCAATATGGGCAGCTCAAAAATTGTGACCAAGGGGGACAGGGTTAGGAGAGACATCTCCTGATCGTCTTCATCCAACCTTCCTTCCCCCAGATGGGACAAATCAGTCCTGTGTGCATCTTTGCCAAGAGCAGCAAGAATGTTTTTTAATTGTCTTCGGTATGTTGGGGGTGGTCAAACAGTGTTTGGGATCAGGAGGAGGAGGATGACTTTGCAAAGTGTTTTACTTGTAAGTGTGCCTTGGATTGCACACGTGCTGGTAGAAAACACAGAGCGTGATAAACACAGAGCTGTGACACACACAGGAAGCTTGGGAAGGTCCTGTCAGGGTGGTGGTGCTTTACATGAAGCACAGATTGTCTGTGGTGCTGACCCTGCACACCAAAAACTGCCCCTGAGCTTGGAGAGTCCTCCAGCCTGGACTGGACCTCTCACACCTTTGGGTGCTGTGCAAGTGCAAAACAAGAGAAGGGCTTGGCCTCCAGGGGTTGGAAACAGAACAGGATGCTGGGAGGTCAAATAGGAAATTGTTTACCTAAGGACACAGGAGAGGCTTTGCAGCTTTTTTCATTTTCCCTTTTATTGTCTTATCCCCAGACTGTGCTGCTTCCTCAGGAGTCAGCCGTGCTAGGCACCTTTGGAACTGTGTCCTCCTCTTATGCTGATGAAGGGCTGGCTCTTACCACTATTTACATCCTTAAAAAGGAAATAAAATAATGGAAACGTGCCTAAGGTGAATTTTGGGGTATGGGGAAGATGGAGGTCAGGGCCTGACTCCTCCACTTGCTGTGCAGTCTGAGCTGCACTTGTAGATGGAGGGGCTGGCATGGTCTGTCCCAGCTCAGGGAAAAAAACAATCCCATCCCCAAAAGGGAGCAAGCACTAACCTAATAAAGGCACCAGCTGGACGAAGGGAAAACCAGCTCGTTGGAAAAAAAAAAAAAAAAACAAACCTCCTTTCATTAGAAAAATAATATATTTCATCCAAATAAGGTAAAAATATTTGAAATGGGGCAGAAGTGAGCACTAGGCAGCATCTGTCAGGCCCTTTCTGAAAAGGGGAAGATTATTAAAACTCAATTACAATTTATTTTTGTAAAGTGTCTTTCAGGCTAAAAATCTCCCCAAATGCTTTGCAAGGACTGCTCAGGGGTTACTGACAGTATGGAGCATCTTCCCAAACATCCCGTGTTCCTACCAAACCCTCCTTCCCTGCATCTGCTGAAGGATTTCATCCTTCAGGATTTGACTGTTTTTCTATATTTGCACAAATAATGAGAGATGTTTTATGATGCTGGCTGCAAGAGCAGCCTGAGGAGCAGTGGGGGAGGGAGGTTGACACTGTATTTCTTTCTGTTTTAGGTAAAATACTTGCTTTTCTTTGGGACTGCCTGTCCTGCATGAGAAGGTGACTGGCTGGGTAGGGCTGCAGGGGATCTGGAGCACAACCTGCTGCTTTGTGTCCTGTTTTCCTGTCTGTGCCTGCCCCTTTGCCAGGCTGTGTGTCTGTCAGACCCTCTGCTTGGCATGGTTGTTGTGTGCACCATCCCTGGGGCTGGTTCTCCAGCCTTCCCTCATGCCCTGTCTCCTCCTCTCTTCCCTTTCTAAAACTTCACAGGCTGTTTCCAACTTCATCCCTCTGCTTCTGTGGCTACTACCGAGGTTTTGTCTGTGTGCAGCCAGAGTAACAGCTCTTCAGAATCCATTTCCTGAGCTGATTTAACTGAACCAGAGCAAATTCTGGGGTGGACATTCTTCCATCTCTTTGAACAAATTTGCTTTCGTTAAGCAGTTCCAGCTGAGCTGGGAATGCACAGAGGGCTGGGTGCTCAATGCTGCAGCGTTCCCGTGCAGGTGAATTATTCCCTGCTCCCTGCCCTCTTGGAGTGTCTGCAGCAGATCCCATGGCTGTGTAACTGTTCCCTGCTCACCTCTCTGCCTCTGTGCCCGTGCAGTGATAACAGCACTTCCACAGCTTGGGGCGTGAGATGGAGCTTGGGGCTCCCTCCTGCTTGTTCCCCAGAGGAGCCCTGTGCAGCCTGGCCATGGAACATCCACTCCTGCGCCTCTTTCTTACCTCCTTTCCCCCCAGCCCCAGAACCCGCAGGCAGAGCCTTCTGCTCTGTGTAAAACAGTGGCAAACTCATGCTGGGTGCCCCAGCAGCGGCTGTGGGGTGGGTGTGGAGGGGCTGCAGCTGTGTCAGGGGTGCTGTGTCAGGGGTGCTGTGTCAGGGGTGCTGTGTCAGGGGTGCTG